TATTTATATACATATGTCTATATACACAAGACAACAACCATATATGTTTCAATTATATAGTTCTGCCCTCTTAAACTTCAAGGGGAATAAGGTTGTTTGTGTTTTTGCCTTATAATTTAAATATCTTTATTTAAATCCCAAGGGCTGTTTTCCAAAATGGGATATTCTGCCACAGCCATAAAACTATTTCAAGCCAATGGGGATCACAGAGATAAAACTCTGGAGATTAACACCAGGCTCACTGATAGGCTTCTCAGTTGCCCTGAAGCATTTGTCTAAGAGCTTAAAAAAAAAAAAAAAAAAAAAAAAAGGAAAGAGAAAATTGCCCCAAATCTATCTCAGGAAGCACTTTACATCTAGAGGGGAAACTTAGGTCCTAAGATTTTACTGCCTGATCCTCCCTTGGTCTACATTCTGTTGCCTTATACTCTTGGGAAGCTGAGAAAAATACCTGTCATATCCAAGCTGATCTCTTAAATTATGAAAGGACTGTGAAAAGGGGGTCAATTGAATTCCCATTTGTTCAGATACAGCTGATCTAAAAATAATAACCTTTGAGCCTTCCTGTGGACTTTAGCCTTCTGTTGCCTTGTAACTGAGTCAAATTGTATGCAAATTTTCTTTGGGTCATTTTTATAAGTGAAATGTGAACATTTATCCAGTGAAAGCTAGATACCCACTGGGTACTTTTTAAATATATTCTAAAATTTCATGGCACCAGAAGCAAAAATCCTACCAGTAAAATTAATAACATACATGTAAACTTTGGTGTATGCAGTGCTTGGTATAACATGAGAAAATATATAATAGAAAATGGTAATAATACAGTCCCCATATTCTGAATATTTGTCTATAATTTGGTATGTATTTCTGTTTGGAGTATTGGTGTTAACATGCTTTCTTAGCAGAGAGTGAACAGCCGTTATGGTGTATGTTATGAATGCATATTAACAGCACAGGCATTTGCATATTTGGAACTACAGTAGAAAATGCATCACAAAATTTCTTTTGAAAGATTATTGTGCAAACACACTGAATCCTTGTTAAATCTTGACATAACAACTTTTCGTTTCCCCCTTTTTATGAAAAAAAAAAAAAAAAAAAAAACTAAGACATTCAAACAATAGATTAACACTATCTCAGAAAACCTGACACAGTTTCCCTGCTCCCCACTAACCCCCATCCTGCCACATCCCCACCACATCATCACCAACACCAAAGGTTTTAATTTCATGTTCAAAGGCAGGAACAGAACAGCCCCAAATGTTTTTATCAAAAAACTGTTTCTCATTTGTCTGCATACGCAAAGATAAAAAATAAAATCTATCCATGTGATGAACTACATGGATGATAATTTTCTACTAATCTGTCATGTTAGCTTCTCATTGGATTTTGATTTTCATGTTAGTGATGCCTGTAAAACAATGCAGCTTCTAGATACTTTGCAAGTTTAGAATATGGTACAATATGCAAAATTCATGACAGGGCTGGCTGCTCTGGTTCGTGACCGAGACTTATATTCCTTTACATTTTAAAAATTAAACCATATTGAGAACAATCAGAACTCTGTATCTGGCCATCTATAGAATTTCTCCGTGCTGATTAAAAAAAAAAAAAAAGTGTACGTAGTTTTGGAACCAAAAGCTAAATGAAATCTATTTAGTGCATCCATTACCAACCATATGTCCTTTAAGCGATATAGTTTATAATGGGTTTGGTATGTCTGATATTTCAAAACGTGAGCTAGGCCTACTTACTGACTTTAAGTTATGAATTTATTGCCTCCTTGTTCTTATTTTAAATTTGCAATTTTTTTACTAGGCTATTGAGAGAAAAGTTATCCTTTTTTACTTAGCTCCATCCTCCATTTTTGCCAACTGTTCCCCTCTTCTCTAGAACCGTCCAGGCAATGTCGAGTAACTTTTTGAGGGGATGGCAATGACTGAGGTTATCACAATAGCAAAACTGAATTTAGTTTAAGGACCCTAATGCCAATTTGGAACCAAAGTGCAATAAAGCAGCAGAATTCTAAACCTTTCAAAACTGGGATTTATAAGGGGAATGCTAACACAGATTCAACAGTTACAACTCTGCCAGGGATTACTTTAATACCAAAAGCATACTGTCTCACTTTAGAGAAGGAGATTACTCAGTTATCAAACAACAAAGGTTGTGTTTGTGTATTTTTAAACTTTTTTTAAAGTGCACTTTTTACTTTACTCTCAGGCAATCCTGACGCAAAATGTCCCTTTGTTGGGGGCAGGGGGTGACAGGGGAATAAAGAAAAGGAGAAGGTGGAATTTGCCTCTGGCTTCAGTTTGTTTTATCTATAAGGCTTTGCCAGCTTTGCTTAATTATTTCTACTCTGCTTTTGTTAAGAAACTAAAAAAAGGGAATAGGGGGGTGGGGGTTGGGGGGTAGACGATGTGAAATAAATCTGACAGAGAAAAATAATTGGACACTGATATAAAAATGAGAAGATATTTAGGTTGATGTTGGTCTGGAGGAAAAAAAAAATGTGGAGGTTTTTAAGGGAAAGAAAAAAAAAGATCTGAAAGAGCCGAAAAAGGGGCAAGCTTATCTTGATTAAAATAAAATACACAGCAAAATGCCAGGGAGAGAAAGACAAAAATTGAAGAGATTTTTATGCTTATTGTGTCTGAAAAGAAATGAGAAGGAACCAGCAAGTGAACTCTGGAAAGAGATAGGGGACAATAAAAGAAAAGTTTGTGACTTTTGGTAAAAGATACGAGTGCAGTTTGAAATCTTTCACAGTGGACTCGCAGTTGTCTCTGTATTTTATATATAAAGAATCTCTCCGAAAAGTTGTTGAAAGATACCAGCAAGTGTAGAAAGGGGGACATCTGAGGATGTCCAAACCCAGATGGAGAAACTGTTCTTTTATTCCAAATTCCTAAGAAGCGCAGAAGTCTTACATGTTAATAAGAGAACACACAGACACACACCCATAAGTTACATGCCATGAAACAAAACAAGGAAATAAGGAGACCTTTGTTGATCCCTGTTAGCTTACACAAATCTTAGTTTGGTTAAGCATCTCAAGATCATTTTCCTGATTTTAGCTCCTCTTCACGGCTTTCTGTCCCTGGGTATCCAGGTGCACAGACGGGATGGTGATCTTTACAAAACATCAACAACAACAAAACAAAAACCTTTCTCACTCACACAAAAGCCCACCTTGTAAATGAATAGAATATTAACGACTCCCTAATAGTTGCAACGTTGGCAGGGCGAAACTGAACACTAACACAGCTATTTCTACAGATTGCCTGTGAAGCCGAAGCAGCTCAAGGAGAAACGCACCTACTGTATGTGAAATGCTGGTGCAGATTTTTTTCCTATCAGTCTAACCTTCTGTGTTGATGCATGAATGCTGGTACCCACTTACAGGGATGCCAGATGATCAGTGCAGAATGAAGGTCCCAAGAGAGAGGATCACATGGTTCTTTCTGCCCTGTGACGTCACTAGCAGATGGCATGGGTACCAGCTCTGGCAGTTGGCATCAATGTCACTTTTTAGAGATCAATGAGATAGTGCAGATATACACAGATCTAGAGACTCCAGGAGACGATGCGACACTCAGCCTGAAAAGATTTGGAAGATCCAAAATGAAAACTGATTATTGAATGAAATTAAAACCTAAGGTAATATAAATAAAGATATACTTCAATTGATGCTGGCTTTGCATGCAAGTATTTAAAGATACAGTGTCACTGTCTTATAGTAGTTATATGCTCTTTGCCATCTATAACTTCTTATCATATTTCATTCTTATGATGTAATTATCGCATACTTTCACTGCTATTATGTAACACTGCAAGTATGTGGACATTACTAAGAGTTTGTGTGTGTATGTGTGTGTGTGTGTACGTGTGTGTGTTGAGGGGGCTGGAGATTGTTAAATTGAAAAGTCTCTGTTTTAACGTGCCTATTTGTTTGAAGACTTTAAATGAAAATACTTGCAGCTTCACCAAATGAAAGCCAAAATTGCATTTGAAACACAAATTATTTTCCCCTTCATTCGGGATTCTGAACACACGTGCACAATTGCAGTCAGAATCCTTGGACCGTTCCTGTCAGATATTAGCTAGAGGGAGACTTCTGTGGCTTGTAGAACAAAAAACACTACGAGAGTGGTTTTTGTCCAGGATGATTTGAACAACAGTAAACAGACAATTACATTTGGAAAAATGTTAAATATAAAAGCTGTCTCACATTTTGTTTGATTAAAAAGAACTGTCAATAATCTTTATTATCTTTTACTTGTAGATCTTATTCTAAATTAGCCTAATTCTCGCCCCCCCCCCTTTTTTTGGTGAAAGCTGGGGAAAACAGTGCTCTTTTACATAATTCTTTACTGATCAAAAATAACTCAGCTTTAAAATTGGCTCTGATTAATCTTTCTTTGAATTTGTATATTCCAACAGTCACTTGCAAAAATCAACAGTCATATAATACAGCAAATAAAGTTAAGGCTTTTTTTCCTGAGAAACAAAACCACACGAATTTGTCAGCTAGTGGAGAGATAGCAATTTTCATTTTAAAAATCTGGTTTCTCTTCTCCTTTTGTACTCAGGGGAATTGAAATTAATGAAATTCTGCATTGCTATATCATGTTTTGCATTTGCTTGAATTCCACAGTCATTTTTTGTGTATTGAAAACCAGTTTAAAATCAAAGAGAAAGAGAGACGGTGATGGTATTTACAAAAAGTGCTCCATGTTTTATTTTCTTTTGGTAATTTTATGTACAAATTAATCCTCCTGCATGTGTTAATGTGCTTTTATAATTACTGCTCTGCACAAACTCAAAAATTATATTTAATGTAAAAAATTTAGTCCCAGAGTCAGTTTTTTTTATGTGTGTTTGTGTTCTTATGACTAAGTCATTAAATATGTTTTAAGTATATGAACGTTAAAAATAAAAACACTTTAAATATTGTGCTGGCATTTTTTCAGGTAATTTAAGATTAAAGAACCATGTTAACACTACCGTTTGATGAGTCTGTTGTAATGCCAGAAACCCAGATGTGCAGAAAGTTTTCTAGAGAATGCGAGGACCAGAAGCAAATTAAGAAACCCGAAAGCTTTTCCAAACAGATTGTCCTTCGAGGAAAGAGCATTAAACGGGCCCCTGGAGAAGAAACTGAGAAAGAAGAAGAGGAGGAAGACAGGGAAGAGGAAGATGAAAATGGACTGCCCAGAAGGAGGGGTCTTAGGAAAAAAAAGACAACCAAGCTCCGACTGGAGAGGGTCAAGTTCAGGAGACAGGAAGCGAATGCGAGAGAGAGGAACAGGATGCACGGCCTCAACGATGCTCTGGACAATTTAAGAAAAGTGGTCCCCTGTTATTCTAAAACCCAAAAACTGTCCAAAATAGAAACTTTACGACTGGCCAAAAACTACATCTGGGCACTTTCTGAAATTCTGAGAATTGGCAAGAGACCTGACCTGCTCACATTCGTCCAAAACTTATGCAAAGGTCTTTCCCAGCCAACGACAAACTTGGTGGCAGGCTGCTTGCAGCTCAACGCCAGGAGTTTCCTGATGGGTCAGGGTGGGGAGGCTGCACACCACACAAGGTCACCCTACTCTACTTTCTACCCGCCCTACCACAGTCCTGAGCTCACCACTCCCCCAGGGCATGGAACTCTTGATAATTCTAAGTCCATGAAACCCTACAATTATTGCAGTGCATATGAATCCTTCTATGAAAGCACTTCCCCAGAGTGTGCCAGCCCTCAGTTTGAAGGTCCCTTAAGTCCTCCCCCAATTAACTATAATGGGATATTTTCCCTGAAGCAAGAAGAAACCTTGGACTATGGCAAAAATTACAATTACGGCATGCATTACTGTGCAGTGCCACCCAGGGGTCCCCTTGGGCAGGGTGCCATGTTCAGGTTGCCCACCGACAGCCACTTCCCTTACGACTTACATCTGCGCAGCCAATCTCTCACCATGCAAGATGAATTAAATGCAGTTTTTCATAATTAATGAGGAAAATGAAAATAAACAGTGGTCATTCACCTCCCCCGTCTAATTAAGACAAAGCAGATGCTTGTGGGCTGAGTAATTGGCACAACTCTATCTAAGGTGTTTACTAGTTTCTGAAGTGTGTTTCAACTATTGTGAGAATTTTCTATGTAATAATAAATCTTTTCCTATGAGAACTTCTTTTCCTTTCCTTTTGTCTGTAAAGCAGTGTGATTCTGTTTCTACTGGAAGGATTTTTCCCCCTTGTTTTATTTTCTTTAAAATCCACTTAATTTGTTTGAGCAAGGTGTCTAAGAATATACTGTTGAATAAAGACATGCACACGGCATAACCAATGTCTATTTCAGTTGTACAGTAATGATAAAATTGCATGTTATTAAAATCAGATGAATAAAATGATGTGTTTATAATTATTAGGGACTATATATAATGTATCTCTGAAAATTTGAAAATTTAAAATATCGAAAATGACACTAAGCTGACAATATTGGAAGATGTATTTGAGGATGTGCAACAATATAAAAAGCTATGCAATTTTCTTTTCGACAAGGATGACTCCAATTGCATTCAATTGGTAACTATTCCTCTTCAAATATATGAGGTGGGGCAACATGATATTTGGGGAGGCGGTGTCATAATTTTGGAACAATTACTTCCACCCTAAAGAAAAATTTCAGCACTTGTTTTGTATTGTTCAGAAATTATCTGTACAGGTTTGTTAACATAATGTATAATTGTGTTTTTCCACCTCACATTTTTAAAGCAATTAAACATGGATATTTCCACTCGTAAAGGACATCTATTAACTGTGATATTTTTGCATGATACTTATTAGTTCCTGGTACACAGCTGCTTTCTGTGTCCAATACTCCCTCCTCCCCATTTCAGAAATATGTCTGGCTTTCAAAACTGTACGAGATAAAAACAAAATTTCTTAAACAAAATGGCCAAAGCACTTACAAGAATTTTTTGTTAAGTATCTTAAAATAAAAGAAGAGGAGCCTATGAGGGTTAAACATACTGGGGAAACAATGATAAATCCTGGTAACCTTCAGCTCGAGCCGAAATTCGGTGGCAAATTTCCAGCAAACACCAGAGTGGATGTTAAAAATGGAAGATTTAACTCTGCGCCGTTTAAATAAGTCTGGCCGATTAGAGGCTAAATTCTGTGTGATTAAAAGTTTCCTGACAAAAGGCCACCAAAAACCTACTTGAATAACACCCCGGGGAGCTCACCTTCTTAAACAGAACCGAGCCCCCTCTAGCATAAAAACCAAGGTGGCCGTGACCTCACTCCAGATACCCTCCTGCGCAGGTTGGGCTCCCCGAGCAGCTGAGACAGCTGGTGAGGGCAGCAGACTTGGGTCCAGTGGTGGCGGGACGATGGTGTTAGGGCGTCCTGGGCACAGGTCCGCGCACCACGCTGGGTCAACGCTGCCCACTGGTGCGCCCCGCGGGCACCGCCCGAGGCCGCGCAGGTCCGACAGAGCCTTGCAGACCGGCGGAGAGGGGACGGAGAGGGCTTCACGCCCGCACCCCACCACCGCAGTTGTCACCCCGTTTAAGGGACACAGGCTGCACCGCCCGGGTCCCACCCGCAGTGGGCGCCCTAGGGCCTACGGGCCGCGCCCTGCGAGCTCTGGCTGCGGCTCCAGTGCCCGGATCCCCCAGCCCAGGCACCAGGCTGCGCGGCCTGAGCAGAGGACTGGGCTCGGAGATCCTGCCCCAAACTCTGGAGGAAGTGATCTCTTGGGGATCAGGCTCCGAGAGGCCGGCAAGGCGGCGCCAGCGCCAGTCTGCCCAAGTTCCGCTAAGAGCTGCCTCTGCCCAGCCCCCCTCCAAGGCTTGCGGACTTCTTGGACGGAGGCGGAGAAGCCTGTGCTCCGTTCCCCCGAAGGCGGCGTCATGCATTAGCGGGGCTCCCCCAGCTTTCACCGCCCGGCCTTTGCGGGGGCCCACAGAGGGGCTGCTCCGAGGCGCAAAGGTGCGGAGCAGCTACCAGCCCCCGCAGCGCGGGTGATGAATGCGCCCTTCTAAGCGGGGGTGTTGGCACCTGTTCATTCAAATCTTCTTTGCAGGGGCAAAGAAGTTGGGGGAAAGAGGAGGAAATGTGTTCTCCAGGGGCAGAGAGAAGTTTGCCCAAGGAAGAGTCGTCTGTCCCATATCTGTCTTGAACGCAGGATTGACTCACGTTTGCTTCTCCCCAAGTGGACACAAAACTTGTCCCTCCTTGAGAACGCAGTCCAGGATTGTGGGGTCACTTTAAGGCCCCCCTTCTTTACCTTCCCCCCAGAGAGTAAGAGTCAGATCACCTCTTATTCCCATCTGATCAAAGAGCAAGTAAGTGAAGAAACATCTGGAAATAGAATCTGGATTAAAAAAAAAATCAAAAAACTAAAGGGCAGTCTGTTTGGTCTCTAGCAGAAAGAAGTCTCCGCAGACCCTTGCTCCAAGGTGACCCTCGACCTGAGAACAGCATCGCGCCTGCTCAGTGTCTTGCTGGACCAGGCAGGGATTCGTAACCTGCACAGTCTTTCCAGGGTCACAAATTCATGTTGGAACTGGAGATTGTAACAGGAGCATTCTCTCTCCCTGCTGGCAATATGGGAGAGCGAAGAAGAAAAGCAGCTGGCGGACTGTCTGGGGAAGAAGCACACTTCGAGAAGAAGCGTCTCTTCTCAGAGCTTTGTTCGAGAGGAATTCAAGCAAAAGAATGGGGTTTCCGGGTTCAGACCCCAGGGATTATTTACTTCTTCCATAATTTTGATGCATGCTCCCTCCTTCAGTGGACGGATGAAATCTGTGACAGTACGTTAAGTGTGAGTAGGGTATGTGGGGCTGATCCCAGTGGCTTAAGCCTTCTGTAGATCCCACTGATGACCCCTGGTATGCTAATCCTGAACTAGCCCCTTTCCCCTCACTAACTGCAATGTGTCAGATTTCACCCTCAGCAGGGCCCTCCCTGACCCCTGTTGTCTGCAATCCTAAGAAACCATAGGACTTGCTCATTCATATACCAATGTCACAGATGCCATACACTGCAAAATCTTACTTTCTGAGGTCGTGCTCCGATGGCAGGGGAAATAGTACAATATGGGATTTTAGGATCAGGAAGGTTTGGAGTCACAGAGATTTGGGTGAAAATCCCTTTCTCATCTCTAACCTCTTATTGCAGTCTCAATGAGAGTACAAAGCCCGCAAAAGGCGCAGGTCAGGATACCTGAGTACCTTCCTCTGGTTCTGACCTCATGCTTCCCTTACTCCCAATATAAAAGGATGAAAGGTCTCTCTCTTGTGAACCCTTTTAATACTTATTGTCTGTTAAAATGATTAGGCATCTCTTCTTTTGAGCTGAATATTGTATCTTACATTAATTTCCCATGTTTGTCCTTCCTCCTTTATCAGAAATATTTATATGTGTGTATGTGTTCATGTGTGTGTATTCCCCAACAAAATAAAGTTGTATATATTTCTCTCTCCTGTAAAAGAAGAGGTAGGTGGTGCAGGATGCACTTGGCTGTCCAGGAGTATCAAAGGCCCAGGCTTCTACTTGCCACCCCACTAACCTTAGTGGGGATCCAAGAGAGCTGTCCTCAACCCAATCAAGAAGTCAAGGGAATGGTCAAAGTGGATCCCATCTACCAGATCAGACCTTTTAGAAAATATTTTTGCAAACCCCACCCAATGTCTTCTACTTACTCTTCACTGACCTCTCTAGATTTAAGAGAAGCTGGCATACATATCCTTTTCATGACAATATTGGCATCTAGGATAAAAATCTCGCTTAAATAAAAAAGGAGAAAATAGATGTTGGTTAGACACTAACAGTCTCTGCCATGCCAAATTAGAACAAGGTTCAGATCTTCCTTTGAGAAAGTTCTCACTTTCTCACCGTATGCCTGGGGCTTAGGGGTGGGTCATGGGGTCTATATTCTCTCCTCTCATTCTAAAGTACATAACATGATGCTCTAACCTAGGTGGAAACCCAGTAGGGTATACAAGACTCCCATATCAAATTGGGAAACCCAAACAAAACATCATGAAAAAACACCTTCACTGTAAAATGCCACCTCACTTCTTGCTTACTTTCCTTCTTAGCAAACACTTGTCACTAACATATCATGTAAAAAAAAAAAATACTGATTTTTTGAATGTTTGTGAAAACCTCTGGCACAAAGCATTGGGATATCAGGCTGGAAAAGTTGAGTAGAGGTACCATTATATAAAGCTGTGGATGCCAACTACAAGGAGCTGTGGAAGGTCACCCAAGGATATAAGTCCAAGAAGTCAGCTTTTTGAGCAATGTAAATTAACTTGGTGCCCAAGGGCAAGTGATTTGACTGCAAATTCTCTGTTTCTGGGTAAATAAGGATCATAAAAAGCAACAAGGTCAGTCAAGTCCAGTGACTGTTCTTCAGTCCTTACTCCCTTGGTCTTCTCCCTGACTGGCCCTGCCCTCCCATGCTAGTGTGGGTCTCCTTGCCCTGTGTTAGCTTTTCTTCTGTCTCCTTTAGTAGTTCTTCTTCCTCCTCTCACCTTTCTTCAGCAGTCTCTTCATTGCCTCCAAGATTCCACTTCTGTTCCTTTTCCCTCTACACCAGGACTGCCAGATCTCTACTTCAGTCCACCAATATCTTCACTTGACTATCCCATTGTCCCCTAAACTGTCTATAATGAGTCCCTCTCCAAAGACTAACCCCACCTCCCAGCCCTACCTAGAACATTCCTGCAACTGACTGTGAATAAAATCTCCAAGCTTTCTTTCATTAAATTAGATCATGACTATAAAAAAAGATTTTTGTAGAAAAGAATGTCATTAATTATTCCTTTATATTCTCTTCTCTTTCTGGATATCTCCCTTTCAAGTTAGTCTCCAAGTTCTGTTGAGTTCCACTTATCCCCTCATGGCTAGACCAGTACAGTGGCCTCCAAGCTAGATACTCCTGCTCTACCCTTCCTACTTCAACCCACTTCCAAAGTCAAATTAATCTTTCTAAATT